ATAAAGAATGATACTGATGTGGCAGATTGTAATCTACATCTGAATACTGTACAATGTAGAGGCAGTTGCAATCAGGAACCTAATTACTGACAAGGTGTCATAAAAAAAAAGTTAGTAATCCCTACAATTCTAGCAAACCGATTACAAAAATGTTAACTGAATATTCCTATTATTTAACACTGAGTGTCAGGAAATGCAGACTCCTTTATTTGAAGAGACCAAGCATGTCTACATGCTAAATTTCAGATTTGCATTTCTTACTACAATCAAGTAACAAGACATCCTCCTATTCTAATTTCAGTACTGGACTCTCATTCTCACAAAGATACTGACTGTGGAAAAAGCTGAAGAATTCTGCTGGTACTGATCACAGCAGCCATTAGAATTTAACACATAAGATATGCACACTTATCCTAGTTTACCAGTAAAGATACAGTTTTTTGAGGTACTTTGCTGTCCTCACAAACTGTACCAAAACATGTCTTATTTTCAATACAACTCTCCAACTGCCTATTCTTCCACCCACAGGCCTTACTAATTACAGTAAAAAAAAAAAAAACCACCTCTGGTTACTAGAGTTTCTGGAGGAGATTTTAAAAAGCATAAAGAAGCGGTAGAAACCCAGCTCTCATTAAAAGAGCCAGTTATGAGAGGGTATGTCAAATACTGGTGGTGTGTTATCTGGCCCAGCCTTCATTGCAGTCTTGGCTCAATAGGAAGTGGACAAATGGCACCAAGAAGCAGCTGGACCTTCAACTCCACCTTTAAGTAGTGCTAGGTGTGTCTGCAGGGAAGAAAGAAGGCAGCAGAAGAGAGAAATCTGAAAGGCAAGGAGGAGAGAGCCACAACTTCAAACTAACAATCTTTCTAAGATGACAAAAATACCTCCCCCACCTCCCAAGGAACCAAAGACATCCATATGCCTCCTACCTCCCAACCCTGTAGCTTGAGAAACCTTTCTACATCCAAAAGGAGACAACCCAGTTGGTCCAGACCCATCCTCAGTAGTAAACTCCCTTGGCTTCAGAGATTTAGATGGGACTTGCTAATTAAAAATAAACTTCCAAAAACCTAACATTTTGTAATCTGTTTAAAGTGGCAATAGTTTAAAGTGACAACAGCAACCCAACTATCACCTGATAAAAGACTTCCCTCTTTCATTAACTTGCAACAATTGCAACAAAGGTGTGCATTGTAAATTAGCTGGATAATAGTTTCACGGATTAAACTAAACATTTTAAACTTGATTAATTTATATAAAGAAAATACAAGATCATCTTCTTTAGGCTTACTAGATAAGATATTTGAAAAGCTTTTACACATGTTGGAATGAACATTTGAAAAAAGCTTTGCTCAATAAATAATGTTATCCCACTAGCAAAGAAACAGGCAAGAACACATTAACTTTGGCTTTTATTCCTTGTTAGGAGTCCACAAAAAGTCATATTGCTTCCATATGCTCTGTTATAAAACAACCAAAATACTATTCATAATTCTACAATTCTTGACAGCTAAAAGCCATATCTAACAACATATTGTGTTCATTCTTATTAACCTTGTGATACAACGGAGATAAAATACTTAAAATGTGTCTCTTTAGAGGACTATGCAAATATTAATCAAAGGCAATGTTTATGAAGACCTCTTCAAACAAATTCCTTCCTTTGATGGTCATTCTTTTCTTTTCAAAAGACCTATAACAAGTTATTAACAATACTACAATTTTGCCTGTTAGTTATTGTTCACACAAGATTTAAACATTACATTATTAACATATACCAGGTTTTATATCCAAAGTGTCACATATCTGCAAAGTATATTGATATGAACTAATTGTTAGCATGATTATGTCTTGCATGAGTGACAACAAATGTTGTTACTACGTTTATCTTTCAGTTAAGATTAGAGACTATTTAGCACAGTTACCTGACAAATACTATTTACTAGCAGTAGCTCTTTTGAATTTAACTTCTATAGACAGAAGTCGCATATTAAACTTTATTTCATATAAAAACAGCAACAGAACAGTCAAGTTTGTAAATTCCTCACTCTCCCACTGTACTTGTCATTCCGCTTTACTGAATTCCCTGAATTAGTTCTAAAACTGGGAACATTTAAATAGTCTTCTCTCATATATACAAGTTACCTTTTCCCAACTTCATCTTTACCCAAGAGGATTTTGTTTTCTATTTTATGTCAGGTTTACCCTCTTAAAAGTGCGGCAATTGGCCTTTTTTGGCTGATTTGGCCAATAATGTAAATGCCACATGAATGTGAACAGCCATAGCAAGCACATGGCCAAGAGTGCTGCCCAGAAGCTTGGAGAGCAGTGTCCAGCCATTAAGTTTGTGGGGAGCATCAAGACCCCTGCAGTGAGAGGGAATGGGGAAGGCAGCCCAGCTGAGGTGGGGCAGATGGCCCAGCTGGGGTGGCACGGGGGGACAGAGAGGGGAGGGGTGGCTCCCGCTGTTGCACATACCCCTAGGGGAGGCATGGGGAGCACATGTCCCCCAGACCTGTGTACAGGGTGAGGGCAGACTGCTATTCCTAGCAGGGGGGGCTGGGCCCGTGCTGTGCTCAGGGTAGGTGGGGCAGGGCAGGTGGTGCTGGGAGGGTGAGCTACATGGGGGCTTCAGCTCCCCAAAATTCTCCATAGCTCACCCCGTATCCCCCTTCACAACATCACTGCTCCCACCAGACCCAAGCACAGCCCTGGCCCAGCCCCTCTCCGCCAGGAAGACGCTGCAGTGGGCGACCCCATGCACAAATCTTGTGGGCATGTGCACCCCCACGCCTCTCCCAGGGGTGTGCACAGCAGCAGGAGCTGCCCTGAGCCCCTCCTGGACAAGATGTGGCTCCATCCCATGCTCCACCCTGCCTCGGCTGGGCAGTGCCTGCCCCTGCTCCAGCCCCACTCCCTCCCCCTCACTGTGGAGGCCTCAATCTGCCCCCCTACCCTTTCCCAACAGACTTACCAGCTAGATACTGGTTTCCAGGCTACCGGGCTGCATACTGGCAATCGGATCAGTATCGACTAATATGGCTGGTTAATAATCATCCATCAGTATCAGCTCAAAAAATCTTAATTGATTCACTCCTAATTTTATCTAATCAATCTCATAAAATATGTACAAGAGAAGGTTGGACACGCATGGGAAAAATTCTGAAAAAAAATGTTCATTAATTCTGCTTCCTCCTTTGCAAGCTTTGTATGCAGAGACAAATGAACTTAAATTCAAAATCAGTTTCTCAACTCATTGCAGCAGAATGTTTTTCACTCTCCATAAGCATCAGGACTACAACCCCCACACTGGCATTATGAAAATAATTCCAGTCTCATTCAGAAGAAAAACCCAAGCTATTCTGGCAGTATACCTCATTTTGCTAACCAATAACTGAATAAGGTGACAACACACACAGCTTCCAGTTCAAATGCTGTGAAATGTAAGTTGAATACTATTGCCCTAGGTAAAATAAACACACTTTCAGAATTTAAGGAAATGTTTATGCTTTAGAGGAAAATGCTGTGCTCTGTTCTCAGCAAGATTTACACATTTTGAGTGCTCACGGCTCATCTCCCTATGTCAGGGGTTTTCAATCTTTTTTAGTCAAAGTACCACCTTGCGGCTGGATGCTGAGTTAGAGGGGGGGAATTAGAGCATGGCCAAAGGCCGGGTGGGGGGGGGGGGGAGCTGGCATGTGGCCACATACAGAGCAGAGAGGTAGGGACGGCACACAGGGATGGTGCGCGCTGCCACCTCCCAGAAGCCGAGCTGTGGCAGGGTGGGGAAGCTCACTGGGCTGGGGTGAGAGCAGCATCATCCCTCTGCAGGGGGAAGCTCATCCGGCTGGTGTGTGGTGGCGCTGACCACTGTGTGCAAGCTTCCCCACCCTGCAAATGATTACCGCTGTCCTCGTCCCGCCCTGGCCCTGCTCCTGGGAGGCAACAGCATTCCATCCCCACCCGCCAATGCATACCCCCTAGGACCGGTCCAAGTACCCCCAAGGGTACGCATACCCCCAGTTAACAATCCCTGCCCTATGTGACTGGAGAAACAACACTTTCTTTGGTCCACTACCTATTCATTTATTGGTTACTCATCTCTTCTGTCCCTGGTTACTGGAGCTAACAAATCTCTCGGTCTAGCATTAATGCCTTTTTAAAATGGTATTTTTGCATATTACATGTAAATAAAGATTAAACCATTCAACAACTCTCATTATTTTCTATTCAAGCTGTCTCATGTAGCACTGGGAAAACACCAGGGTCCAGAAGGCTCTCCTAGTAACTTTGTAGCTATCTGGAAGGTATCCATCAGGGAAGGGAAAAACAAGATAGTCCATTAACAAATATGGAACCAGTGGTCAATGTCTATCTGATATATAATTCCCACATTGGTTCTTCTTCTTTTCCATCTCTCTTGTCAATCAACAGTCTTGCTGCTTCTCAAAATAACACCCAGATTGAAAACAAATATATCTATAGGTCTCTACAGTAAAGATGATGCTGAGAAGTTAATTTACAGGCAGAGTACCTTTTTGGTAGATTCTCAGTTAACCCTGTAATCCCTGACTTTTTGTGTCACTGGAAAGCCAAAACTTCAATAATACAATTTGGTCTGGTTGCAGCTGCAGTTTATGTTAAATTTACTGATAAAATTGCAGTTTATAGTCTGCAGGACCAACTCTGGGTTAGGACCAACTCTAAGAATAAGACCATGGATAGATTAAAATAAAACAATTAAAGAAGAAAAAAAAGGCACTCCTCCTCCCCTCTTCAAACAAATTTTGGGGAGTTTAGTTTTATTTCTACAAAATGCTCAGTAGTCTTCCAGGATTCCTGGTTATTTCCAAAGGGTCAAGAGACCTACAGGACACTACCCAGCACAGTAAAACATGACAGTCAGTAGTTGTAACATTTTATTAAAAAATTAGTACTTTAAATTTGACTTTTTGAAAATATGTATGAAAACATGCAATTAGCAGAAAAATATCCTCACCACTTTGTACCCCGTATCTGTTTTGCATGCTTTTCTCCCTGAAAACATTAGGATTCCTTGCCAGGACAGCCTGCAGCAAGACTGGTATATCTCCCTCTGGATCATCGCTGCCAAGGTTATCTTTCAGTTCTCTGGAGGTTGAAAAGATAAGCAAACAAAAAAAAATTTAAATGGTAAAAGACTTGGTTAAAGACATAGCACCCACTTGTCAATACAATGAAGCAGCTATATACTCTATCCATTTAGCAAGTCTATATAATACTATTGCTCTGGCTCTACATTTGTGATTTTTATTCCTCTTTGTCTGGAAAATGAGGGAAAGGCATTTGTACTGGTCTTCAAATTACTTCTACTATTACTATTTTAATTTGTTTCACACAAAGATATGAGCTGGAAATTTGAGCATGCTTCCTATTTACAAAGGTAATTCATTATACTCTTGGTATGACAGGATTCATTCTCATCTTCCCATCAAAGTTCAGAGATTTTTTTATGTGATAACATGCTTTTCTTTTGCATTTTTAATATTTTGGTCAAAAAACCTATGAAGCCCCAAAGCAAGCCAACAGAAAGGATGGGGTGGGGCGGGGAGGGGGAGAAAAGGGCCTATGGGTAGCTGCTTGAAAATTCTGAGTATATGAGCAAATAGGCAGAGGAGAACATATACATGTTTACAGCACTGATACAGAAAAGCACCTGTGTAACAAGTCCCTTTATAATGCCCAGGTAATAATGGAAATTGGCTAACCAGACTACAGGCATACGGACATGTCACACAGTTAAATATACAAAGCTTACACCAACAACTAATAAAAATGCAAGGAAAAGCATATCTGCGGGAAAATATACAGTTATTCACACACAACTGTCTGGAATGATCTTATACTCGGTCTGAAACAATTCAATGTTAAACAAAATGGTTCTCTGGTAGAAGCCAGCCTAGAAGAATCTTTTTATGGTTTCAGTACTTAGCATACAAAACCCCTTCTTATAACCCTCTATGCTGACTTGAATCAGTAAAGGAGTAAGTAACTTATTTTAAGATTTTGTTACATAGAAGTAAGGTACATACATATGGTCTGTTGACACCTGGTTGAGGCTGTGTACGAGTTGTGAAACCAGATTTTCATCCCTACAGGCCAAAAGGCAGTTCACCTCTTCTGCTATTCGTCCATTAAAAAGCAGACTTTTTGTTGTTGTAGCAGGTAAAGGCGATGGAAGAGGCAGCTGGTTCAAAACTACATTAAAAAAAATAAATGCAATTCAAGCTACTGTATTGAATACAAACCTAGAGAGTAATAAGAGCTATTTATTTCTACATACTTTTAAAAAGAGTAAATTTGAAATTTACTGAAGTTTTCTGGGTCTCATTACACAAAAACTAAAATCATAATTTAAACAAGAACTGAATTTAAATTAACGCTACATGTTAAACCACAAGTATTTTAGTATTTCTCATTTAATAACTTTTCCCCCCTAAAGTGATAGGAAGAAAACATTTTCTACTTACCAAAAAGTTACTATTATTAGGAGTGTTCTTTTAGTGCTGAAGAAGTCCAAATAGTAAAGATGGACACATGCACACATGCAATCATGGCTGCATGTAATTCTGCAAAAATCTATAAATCCCATACTTAAGATGACACATATATCTTCTATAAATTATCTCCATGATTGATTTGGGGGTTTGCAGTTTTTTTTAATCAATTTAAAACATTAGTTTTAAAAATTAAATTTAAATTTAAAATCAGGTAGAAAACCACAAATTAAAGAAGAAAAATATCTTGTTTTGCATTTACAATTTTTACTTTCTTGACCAAAGATTCGGATCTCACTGATGCACCCACTAAGAACATACTGACTTGCAAGTATGCCTTTTCATTAAAGGTATTACAGTATAACCTCATAAGTCCAGCATGCTTGGGACTGAACACCTGCCAGAAATTTGAAAATTCCGGACTTTTCAAGCCAGAGCAGCAGCTACGCACGGAGTGGCAGAACGGGGTGGTAGATGGTGGCAGCAGCCGCCACGTGCAAGGTTCCCCCTCCGCTGCTCTGGAATTGGCCACTGCTGCTCCCCAATGTGCTGGATTTTCAAGAATTCCAGATTTTTGATATCCAGATTTATGAAGTTATACTGTACTTCTTTTAGCTGATCAGGAAGGTATACGATATCAATACACGTTTAAGCTATTATGTGGTTTAATAATTAAATTTAGATTTTAAGAGTATACTACGCCCTTAAATGGACACACAGTCCTACAGCTACAACTCTATGTACCAAACAAGGAATACATTCTTCCCCCTGAAGAGAGGCAGCTGAAACAAGAGAAACGAACCAGAATCGAAGTAGATTGTTACAGGTAGCAATCACTCTATTTACAAACTGGACCGGATTGCATGGAGAGAGCTTGTTGGACTGATATTCTGAGGAGTTCAGGGCTTCTCTGAACTTTTGAGAGCTGTCTTGGTGCAAAGTTACCTTGAAGAAGATGCATCACTTTTTCCGTTTGCTTTAGCCTCTCCAATCTTATTCCTTTACACAGGTTATTCACTTTTACATAGTTATTATATTAGTTACTAACATATTTCCTATTTACCAGAGGGTGATTATATATTTACAATATTTGAAGATAATTTTATACATTAACTAAGACTACCTTAAGTGTGCTGGATACATAAGAGAAAAGGTTAATCAGAAGAGGTTTTACTTTTAAAACAGGCTGATTTATTCAAGTAGTACTAACTGTAGTTCATGAACTGAGTAATTCACTATGCATCTTTCAGAATTAAAATACCAAGCTTTCCTCTTTTTTCCCTCCAACTTCCCATCAATTACTCAACTTTAATTGAGCTAGTGGAAAATATGAAGAAAACTAAATACAATGGAAAAAAAAAAACACAAGTCATCCAAAGTCTTAATCAACAGAAGACTGAGGAAGAGAATCATGGACTTTAAATGTACAAAGAGATTTCTACAGAGGAAAATAAAATATTGTTCTTCACTACCACTAAGACTAGAACAAGTAATAATGGACTTTGGCTGCTTGCAGACATGAAAAAAACAAAACGAAACAACCCCAGCACTTTACCGGCAGAGGAAGCATGTTAGTTCGACCGGGCTCTGAAATGTCGGTATAGATCGGGCACTTAAGTGGGGCTTTTATCTCAAGCTCATTCAATCAGCTATTAGATGAAAGTGGCAAAACGCTCCGCAGAAGCTCCCAATCTATACAGACATTGGGCAAGCCGGATCAAATGAACGCTATGCCTCTTCTAGGCATGCTCTACGCTCAGTGCAGAAGCGCACCAAGCTGATAGTAAAATGCCTTCCCCCCTCCTCTCCCCCACTTCTAAATCTGCAAGCAGTCTATAAATCACAGGAAAAGAGATTTAGGTTAGACGTCATGAAAAACAATTTAACTGCACAATAATTAGGAATTGGAATAGAGATGAAATTCCCAGTTTACAACAAGCGAGACCAACATCTATCAGGAATGCCTTAGCCTACTTGTGACAAGGGTGTTGACTAGCTGACCTCTCAACATTCCTTCCAGCTCCTATTACTTATTTCTGTGAAAATATAGTTTTCTGAGGTTTTTTGTTTGTTTGTTTTTTTAAACACAGTCTTAATATATTGTGGCTCCTTCCAGACATGAAAAAAAGACCCTGCGCTTTCCCGGAAGCAGTAGCGCATTAGTTCAACATGGCTCTGCAGCTTCTGTATACATAGGGCACTTCAATGGGGCTTTTTGGCGTTTTTATCTAAAGCTGATTCAATGAGCTATTAGATAAAAACACCAAAAAATTCCCGCTGAAGCACCTGAACTATACAGATGCTGCAGAGCCTGGTAGAATTAATATGCTGACTCTTTCTGGGTACGCACTGGGCTCAGTGTGGGAGTGCACTGAATTTAAAATAAAGAGCATTTTGGTTTTTTGTTCCAGGGCTGCAAGCACCTTATGATACAAGTTCAGGCCTTATATTTTAATGCATTCATTTGAAAAAGAAAACCTCTTTAAAAGTGCATAGCTTTATAAATAATGAACTTTCACCATGTATATTTCTCTAAAAATTCTAAATAAACAAAATGTGGGAAAAATGAGCGTGGAATAAAGATGAGGGATTAGAGCAGGGAAAGTACTTACGGTCTGTGAGACTAGCAATCCCTGCAAGAGTAGTGATGGGAACATGAGGCATATCCCCATTCATCCTGAAGCTCTGGGATGGTAGTGCCTACGCAGATACTTAGTTCAGGTGCCAGCTATCATTACTTTCCATCTCCCAAGCACTACAAAAAAGAAAAAAAAAGAAAGCTCAATTTGCTTTAGGTCTATTTGAAAAAGCAAAAGCATTAATGTAGTCTATATAGCACCTCTCAACTGTATTCTTAGCATACTTTTATTCATTTTGTCTTTTGTGAACACAAAATAGTAAGTAAACATTGGTGAAAGGTAAGAAACAAAAAGTTAATCCCATCAATACTGGGGAGAACAACTAACATCTGGAACATTATTCAAATAACAAAACAGACTGATTAAAAAAGCAAGTTTCTCATGATGCATTTCACTTCCAAGAGACAAGGAAAGATGAAATGCAGTGAAGCAAAGGAAACTATTGCTCAGTTAATTCACTATCCAGCAAATTGTCAGCCGTTGCTAGTTAAGGAATACCAGCAAATTAGACATGTAATGCACAGAAATGTTACAACTGATCATATAACAAATGATGAAAGGTTACTGTAACAATGATTGGTGGAAAAAATGTGTTTGCATTTTCTGCCTCCTCATTTTCAGTCATTATCATGTATATGTTTGGAGAGTAAGGGAGTCTTTCATACATTAATGGGTTAAAGAAACATCAAATAGGAAAGTGTAATTTGTAATCACTAAAATTAGCAGGGGAACAAAAGACAGATACAGCTCATTAACACATTTAAAAATAAATAAATTTGATGGTATTCTTTTAAACACTAGTTAGAGACATACTTGGAGCAAAGTGTTATGGGTGCTGTTCTGCAAGCACAGATGCAGGAGTGGTAGTTCCAGCAGCAGCAGTCCCTGCTGGTGCGTGGTAAATCAGCAGACGGGGCAGGAGGTGTGAGGGCTCCTGTCAAAGCACAAGGAAAAGCCCCCCCCTCCCATGACTCCTTGCAGGGGAAGGGGGCAGCACAGCACAGGCAGGGCCTTTGCTGGTGGCTCTCCTGAACTTCTCG